CATCTTGTTCTGTTTTCTCGTAGAGTCCAGTCAACATGGACAAAGTATTCGCACCATTACGCACCGCAGCAATGTGTTGGTGTAATCAATCGTTATGCATTATACATATATTTACAAGAAGTGTGTTTCAAGAGTATAAGACTCAACGTAGTAGATGTTCAACATGACCACCGCCGTTTCGCGTGTAGAGAAGAATTTGCCCGAAGCTATCGGCAGGCACTTTTTGCAAACTGTTCACCGACATCCCGCAACATTGGTCGTCGATACTCGGTTTCAATTCCTTCGGCCAACAGTTGTGGAATGACCCTGGACTGCAACATTTCTTTGCACGAGGCTGCCAAGCAATGTGCAGCATTAGTTCTGTTGTACGAAGCAAGTCACTCGTCACAGGCTTGGAAAAGAGACATGGTCCGATAATTTTTCGCGCTGTCAACCCAGCTCATGCCATGAGCTGTGTACCATGTTGCACAAGTGAAACGATGCATTGGCGTGGGTTATTGGTAGCCCAAACATGCTGTTTATTAGCGCCATGCAGACGGGAAAGTGCTTCATCCGTAACCCTGATTGGGTGCACATCCATGATATTCAGATACCATTGGCCGTGAGGTCGCTGACGAAATCGTTCTCCGCACTGATTTGTCGTGAATCGAGTAATATATATGACGAGGGTTAATGAAGCTACCCACAGTCATCGTGATTGTTTCGCCATGTTAGCAATGCAGAACGACCACCCTGTTCAACCGCAGTCGCGTAGCGTGCCTGTGGACCAGCGAATCATGCTTATGCGACCGTTTGGTGAATGTCAAGCAAATGCCGTGGAAACGGGGCGCCCCTACAACGCTACCAAATACACAATGAGGTCGGTTAACTTGCGGTAGGTGCGTCGACCAGTTGAGAAATTTGACCAAACTGGGAGCGTGTGCGACGCGAACCGAACAGGCAGGCCTCTAACCTCCACGGATGATGTGTCCGCTTGCGCTGTTGTTGATGAGGTAGCCTGAAATGGTGATGTAAGCATTTGGAGAACTGCGCAGCATTGTGCCACCACATGAACTTCTGTGCATCGTAGCTTGAAGGAACGGAAATTCCGAAGCCATCGCGCACTGCAGGTGCAAGTTCTGAAGTCATGCGATTGTCAGAACCGTATGGAATTTGCCCGACGGTATCTAGATATCATGAATGTGCACTCAATCAGGGTTACGGATGAAGCACTTCCCCATCTGCATGGCGCTAATAAATAGCATGTTTGGGCTACCAATAACCCACGCCAATGCATCGTTTCACTTGTGCAACATGGTACACAGCTCATGGCATGAGCTGGGTTGACAGCGCGAAAAATTATCGGACCATGTCTCTTTTCCAAGCCTGTGACGAGTGACTTGCTTCGTACAACAGAACTAATGCTGCACATTGCTTGGCAGCCTCGTGCAAAGAAATGTTGCAGTCCAGGGTCATTCCACAACTGTTGGCCGAAGGAATTGAAACCGAGTATCGACGACCAATGTTGCGGGATGTCGGTGAACAGTTTGCAAAAAATGCCTGCCGATAGCTTCGGGCAAATTCTTCTCTACACGCGAAACGGCGGTGGTCATGTTGAACATCTACTACGTTGAGTCTTATACTCTTGAAACACACTTCTTGTAAATATATGTATAATGCATAACGATTGATTACACCAACACATTGCTGCGGTGCGTAATGGTGCGAATACTTTGTCCATGTTGACTGGACTCTACGAGAAAACAGAACAAGATGGGTACGTGAGAAACGCGCGATCGCTCAAATGCCCGACAGGGCGCAGGCACCTCTGTTGGTGTTTACTGTAAACTTGACGGCGGTGGAGGAAACCGTTGAAGCTCAGTAGGCTGTGTTATGCGCTTCTTGCAAGCCAGGGTCACGTACTTCCGTTGCCCATATGACGTTAACCTCGTGTTTGCCAAGTAACTCAATTATGATTACCGCCATTCCTCAATCCTTTCTAGTTTTGCAATAGTAAGGGAACTGTCGCTGGCAAATTAAGTAGGAGCTACAAGACAGAGATGTTTGCACCACCGATTATCATTGGTCACTTCGGCACTTCGCTTCAGTTGTTATAGGTTCAATACGGCGCACTTGCACATTATGCACCAACGGTGTGGCATTATCTTGAGGAGGTGTTCGGTCACCGATGGATCGGTCGCAGAGGTCCAAAGGATTGTGCTGCCCGATCACCAGATTTGAACCCCTTTACATTTCTTCCCATGGGGTTATTTGAAAAGCGGGCTTTAGACGGTCGGTGATGACAACTTCGCGTCGACCACCGCGGTCTATTATTTACGTCTTACTCGCACTGTTTAGCACTTTGATAGTTCCTATGTACGGCGATTGAAGGGGCTGCCCAACACCATCTGCGCAGTGTAGGACGTGTGAACACCCAGACAATATCTCGGGCACGTGCATTGGTGTCTACTGCGATCGAGGAGCGGGCGGACGTAACTCACGCATCTGGTGAGCCAATTGATCGGTGTACCTTCCGTAGTCAAAGGAGGAAGTAGACGGGGCTGGTACCACTATTTGTCCAGGTAAACGCAGTTTACCAGTAGCCTAGCTGCGCTGGCGTTGCGTCGAAGTCAGTTTTAACAGTGTTTCTTAAGCCTAGGAGAACGAGAGAAAGTGTTCCGGACCATAAAAGATCCGCGTGCGCCCGTAGCGCTGCCCTCAACTGGTGGTGAAAACGCTCCACCACGCCGTTAGCGGCCCGATGATACGCCGTCGTCTGAAGGTGGAGACATCCTAAATCCTTAAGCAGCGTGGCAAAAGTGGACGAGAAATGGGACCCTCCATCTGTAGTCACGATGGCAAGACGGCCGTGCTGGTCCTCCCAGCGCTCCAAAATTGCCTTTTCTACTGTTTCCAAAGAGCTGTTTGGAATCGGAAAACCTCTGGCCATCTGGTGAATCGGTTAATGCAAGTTAATAGGTACACCGAGCCTTTCGAAGGCGGCGGAGGACCTACGAAGTCAAGGTGCATGTGATGAGAGCTTGTCTGGTGTAGGAAACATGCTTAATGGGCTTTTCGGATACTTGTATACTTTGGCGCGTTGACACGGAAGGCAAGTCAATGCCCAAGTACGAACATTACGATTGAGGTTGCGCCAAACGAATCGTGCGGTTGCAAGTTTAACCGATGCACGAACTCCTGGGTGAGACAAGCCGTGCAACTTGTCGAACGCGGTCTGTCGAAAGTCGCGTGGGACGACTGTTCGCGGCGTGCCCAGATAAATCGCAAAGTATAGTTCCGTCTGATGTTGTCACTGGAACGGGTATTATGTCCAGTGAGGGATACCTGCGTAGTAGATCAACCTCAGGATAATAGAGTTACCCTGGGGCCATGGCTGCCAAGTCTATAGCAGTGCCGGCGTCTGCGATGGCGTTGTGCAAACCAGCGACATGTTGCATATAGGTCGTAAACTGAGTGAAATAGCCTAGATAGCGTGACTCTCCAGGCGAGTATCAGTCGGCAGTGGAGCTGAGCAGGTAAGTCAAGGATTGTGGTCAGTGAAGACGGAAAAGGAGCCGTCTTCTAAGACATGTCGGGAATGACGTATGGATAAATAGATGCCTAATAGTTCTCTACCGAAAGTACTGCAATGTGATTCTACGGGTTGCAAGCATTTGGAAAAGACGACTACGGTCGCCTAGGGTCACCAACCTTTTACTGTAAGACCGCCCCAACTGCCACGTCAGAAGCGTTTGTACTGAGTGACAGTTGGGCTACCGGGTCGAGAAGCGCTTTAGAAGCTATGTTAGCGATAGCTTCTTTTAAAGGTTTGAGTGAAGTGCATGCTGCCGCCAGAAAATTGAATTTTTAAGCTTTCATCGGAGAAGTTCCGTGATGGGCTGCATAAGTGACGCACATTCTGGTATAAAACGACGATGAAAGCTGACAAGCCCCTCAAAGCGTCTTAGCTGCTTGAAAGAATGAGGCTCGAGATAGCCTATAATGGTCTTAATTTATCCTGTCCTGGCACGACGCATGCAGGTGAGATATGGTGGCCGAGAAAACCGACCGAATCGACACCAAACGAACACTCCTCTGCGTCGCTCATTACTCCGTGTTGGGATAAGCAGTCAGAAATTGTTCGTAGGTGGTGCAAGTGCCCCTCGCGTGAGGAGCCCGCGATTAGTCTGTCGTCAAGATATACCTATGCGAAGTCTAAGCCAAGACAAAGTTGGTTAATACAAGGTTGAAAAGCTTATACGACGTCCCTTACACCAACCGGCATGCTTAAAAACCGGAACAAACTAAATGGAGTCGTTACGGCAGTTTTCATCATCATCGCTTCGGCTACTGCAGTTTAGTTATATGCGCGCACCAAACTTAGTTTACTGAAATGATTTTTACCTGCCAGACTGGCGGTTAGATCCCCAGTATGTGGGACAGGAGAGCGAGCAGACGTGGTCAAGTTTTCTAAGGAACGATAATCACCGCAAGAACGCCAGTCTCCCATGGTCTTCTTCGG